GGGGGGGATGAGGGGGTCATTGTTGGCCAAATTTTAGCTGACGTCATTTGTGAGCCGTCCTTTAGGACGCGGTGGAGTCAGGTGCTCGTCAATTTTTGGGTATGAGGAATTATTGGTATCTTAGAGCTTGTTCATTTGTCTTTCTTTTGATTTTAAGAAATATACATTAATCTTGAATAGCAGTCCAGACATTTGCGATTTAAAAGTGGCGTGTGGGGGTCGCCTGGCTTCAAGGGTAGAATAAGCCAGAAAATGGCCCTTAAAGGTGGGTGACTGCCATCGCTTGGGGGTGCTTGAAAACAGAAAATTTACATTTTTTATGCCTTTAATCAATGTTTTTCTATTCTTTTCTTTTTCTTTTTAAATCCACACAGAATTGTATGCTTAAATTGACATAATTATAGTGTTGAGCCAAATCCCCCCCCCCCCAAAAAAAAAGATAAAAAATTGTCAAACGGACCAACCCCCCACCTCTAACAGTTTCTTCGATTTCATTATTTTGACGAGCTCCTGATTTCACCATTAAGCATTATAATGTAAAACATTTATGTTTGATGTCATGATAGGCAGAAAAAGAGACAGAAAAATAGAAGGCTAAAGAGGGACATAGGGATATATATATATATATATATATATCTATGACATAGGTCTTGATGCATTCACACGCAGTGACGCTTCGCTTCCTCGGACTATAAAAGTTGTGTCTGCTCAGTGCTCAGTACATAGTTTTGAGAAATTTGACGTGTTACAAGGTTTTGAGTTTCACATAATGTCAAGCTTTTTTCGAATGCAATTCTTTGAACATCTTCATAACGACTCCGAGTAAGCTTATGATTTTGATAGAGCAGGTAGAACATTAGGTTTCTGACCTCGTGGTCTTATAATAGTAACTCAAAACGACCAAAAAATGTCAGATAGAACATCGCAATTCTGATGTAGCAGCTTGCCTGTGAGGTTCTGAGATTTTATGAGCTCGGATGCTGATTTTTTCTTTCCATGTCGTTTTGTTGTTAGTTCGTTGTTGTTGCTGTTGGTTTTTTTGGTTTTCTTTTTGTTTTTGTTTGTTTGTGTTTTTGGTAAGTGTTTTGCGGCGCTCGCAGCTGCATAAGGTCATATGAGCGTGCGGGACACATTAAACATTTTCAGTTGGTAGTAAATTTTGAATTTTTGCCAGGGTGGTGGCTGAAGCCTACTCTTATCGATTTTGGACCACCCAGGACCTCCTAGATTTTTCGCCCTTGTCCGAGAAGGCTAGGTGTTAAATCTTACCTACCAGATCAGGGGTGTGGCTGAAGGACAGCAGTAAGAAGGAGCCAAGGAGGTTGTTGTTTTGACCGGCAGAGGTAGCTGAATTTGTTAAAGTAATGTGTAATAAAATGAGTGCATCAAGTAAATCTTTGCTTTGGTGAGTGTGTATGGAGATGTTTTGAGAAGAAATATTTGACGAAGAAAACTATGTGAAAAAGACAGACAAATAGATCGACAGAACAGGTGAGCTAAAGACAGAGGGAGAGAGAAAAGGAGAAAAAAGGGGGGGGGGGGGGGGGGGGGGAAGGGGGGGGGGGGGGGGTGGGGGTGGGGGAGGGGGGGGGGGAGAGGAGAGAAGATAATCTGACAAAGAAGACAACTTCTGTTCACCAAAAGCTGCCACCCATAGTCAGAATACGACATGAATAATTTATAACCAAAATAAAGTTAAGCAGGGCATTATTCAAGGTCTCTTCCACTTCCGGGTCATTTTATTTACTTATTTTTCAATTTCTTCACCAAAAATTCCTTTGGTGCGAAAGAAATAAATGTGAGCGGCAGCGTTGTGAAATGAGGAGCTTGCCAAAATAATGAAGAAAGTCAAGAGTCTGGCATTTTTCAGCAGGTTTGGGAATTTGTATCGAATTTTTTTTTTTTTTGGCTCAACACCTTTCAGGCCCAGAAAAGAACATATTTCTGTATGGACTTTACTGAAAAACGTTGATTAAAGGCAGAAAAGATATCAATGTTCAATTTCCACAGACTCTCAAGCAAAGGAAATAACTCAACTTTGGCGGCCATTTTCTCGCTGATTTTACATCTGGAACCAGGCGACCCCCACCTCCTTCAATCGCCAATATCTCGACTTGTATCCGAGATAAATGGATATTTTTTTCATTAAAAGCGAGACAAATGGACAGGCTTTAAGATGATACAGATAACTTCATATGTCCAAAAATTGACAAGCGCCTGATTCCACCGCGTCGTGACACAAATATCACATCATGTCACTACATTGTCACTTTACTCAACACATCGTCACCTCAGAACTATTTGGACTAAAGTGCCTCTTTACTTAAGTCAGGGTTCCTTCCATGAACTCCCCTCCAAATTCAAGGAGATTTCAAGGACAATTTTTTCAAAGATATTTGGTCCAAAAATTCATGACGAAAGCCTATTTCCGATAGTCCTGCACTTGTCCGAAAGGAATCGCAGTTTCGATCTTCCAACAAAAATTTAGATCATATTCGATCTGGCGAAATTCAAGGAGTTTTCATGGATGTTCCTCAAATTCAAGGAGTTATCAAGAACTCCTTGAATTCCAGGAGGCCACAGGAACCCTGTTAAGTACACTTTGGACACACTAGTTGTGGGACAACGCCATGGTGTACCGACAGTCCCACAGAACAATGCTCATGTTATTTTGTTATACACTTACTTAGTTTTCACGATACTGTGGAAACCCTCACTTCACAATCTGACCAAAACTTTGTGAGTACACGTATACAAATACTGGAGGACCATTAACACCCCCTCCCTCCCTCCCATCCCACCCATCATCCCCAACTCTCCATCATTCCTTTTTCCTATTTCCAGATAAATGAAACCATCACCACTCAGGCATTATTTTTAAACTTACCTCCCTCCCTCCCATCCCACCCATCATCCCCAACTCTCTATCATTCCTTTTTCCTATTTCCAGATAAATGAAACCATCACCACTCAGGCATTATTTTTGAAAACTACAATGTACTTTGAAGACAGCAACTCATTCGTGGGACCTTGAAATTTTAAAAAAGCTATGTAATTTACCAGCAGACAGGCCAACGAAAAATACAACGGACAGAAATGGAGAAAATATATTGGTGTACTAGATTTGTTACATTAACATCTTGACTAAATGCAGACAACATTTGTTTTTTCCCCTTATCATAGTATCATAGTACTTTACCCAAACTGCTTTTTTGATGAGACTTTAACGGACCCCCACCAACATTGTTATCTATAATTGCGTACGGCCCAACCTCAGCACTGCCTACATAGATTATAAATAGACCAAAAACGAAAATCTTGTCAAAAAGGACTAAAATGATAATGTATCCATTATGTCAGAATAGGCCTCCTCAGGTGTTGTGTGAATAAGATTAAATGCAGAAGCACGATCACAATTTACCCACACATATATATATATATATCTGATTCATCATGATAAATCCAGTAAATAGAATGGTTGTAATAAGAATATAACAACACCGACTAAAGCTTACTGGTATATTAAACCACATCAACACAGTGGGCAAAGAGGCTGTCTACTAAGTAGTGCCTCTGAATTTATGTCAAACTTCCACAGAGCGGGACAGAAAGCTTTCAGAAGTCCCCACAAAACATAGACTCACAACGCAGTTGCATAAGTGTACTTCTAACCCTTACCGAGCTCATGATGGGCGTTTTTCAACGGCATTATCAAAAGGGCCGGGGTACCAGAGTGCTACTTCATGTTACTGAAAGCGACAAAATAAAAAAAAAACAAGCCCTAAAAAGGCTTCATGTTGAAGAGCAAATAAACACCAGAATAATAGGTTAGGATCTATAATATAATAATAAAACCAATAATGCTTTACCATTGTGCATGTAAAAAAAAACTGTAGGAGCAGGATTGTGCATGTTGGGAAATATAAAGGAAGACAAAAGCAAATAAAGTCAAATCTACTACTACTGAACATACCGTCCGTTGACTAGTCTATGACTACTGAAAATATTAATAAAGCTATTCAAAGTTATTGAGAGTGCAACTACTTGCTCAGGATCAGGATTTACAAGTCCATTTCCTTCATGGTCTCACAAAAGTTGACCCCAGGAAGTTGTCTTCCCTCACTGCTCCGACACTGGCCCGTGGACTGCTTCACAGGAACGCTCGACCAAATTCAACGAGATTTCAAGGAGAAATTGGTAAAATTCAGGACACTTAGTCCAGAAATTCATGTCATTTTCCACGGCGCGCCAAGAACAATCCAACAAAAATTTTGTTCATGTCTGATCTGGCAAAATTCAAGGAGTTTTCAAGGACATTTTCCTTGAATGCAAAGTCAAAAGAGTTTAAGGACTCCACGAATTCAAAGAGGCCGCAGGAACCCTGTTCACAGGCACACTTAGACAAGCAACTTGGGCGGGTCAGAGTTCACCGATTCACTTAGCAGGAAGAGCAACACATGCAACAAGCTGGGATACATCCAACAAAAGTGTAAAAAAACATGGCAAGTTAACTGATTCACTTTGCAAGGAGAGCATGCACTTGTTAAATGCAGAGATAGGTCCAGTCCAACAAAAGTGTAAAAAAAAACCACAGCCTAAACACTATAGCATGTTGACACGGTCTTTCGGTTTATGGGACGGACATTTTTTTTGTCCCAGTCTGTATTTGAGAACAACAGGAGAGACTGACATGGGAGCAAGAGATCTCTGTTGATGACCAGTACCAGAAATACAAGATGGCAGTGGGGGACAGGAGTGCAAATCGCAGAGGTTAAGCACAAGAAACTTGTGGCTTTTTTCCAAGTTAACATCAACACTCCTATCAATTCCAACTGTAAGCTACGGCGGTTAAATAAAAAAAACCCAGAGCCACTGAGAAAGCACACAACAGCTCACACGTGACAGAGGAAGGGGGTAGAAAGAAAATTATTTTTTTTTAAAGCAGGCCTATCTAGAGAGAAAATTTTGAATACGAATTATAATGCCCGTCTGATAAAACAGAACAAACAACAAAAAAAATGCCCCTAATAAAAACATTCAGTCACTGCTCTGAACAAAATTGAAAGGAAGAAAAGCAAGACAAAGATGGTCAAACATTTATAATGCTGCGGGGAAGAAAGGGGGGGGGGGGGGAGAAATAGACAGGAATAAACAGAATAAAGAAAAGCGAAACGTATAAGCTATGCAGTCCAACCACACCTTTAACTCAACATTACATGTAAAAGGAATGAGAAGTTCAAACTGTTTAAAAAAGAAAAGCCTGTCACACTTTCCTTTCATCCAACGTCGTCATACTTCGGAAATACAGAGCTGTCCAAGATGGCGTGAACAATTATACAGAAACATGAGAATAAAACACAAGACTGATATTTCTTCTGAGGGTAAGATAGCATGTGCTATATTCTATAAATAGAAAAATAATTCATATAATGTATTATAATGCTGTTGAAAAAACGATAAGGGTGAAAGGATAAAAACTTGGTGATCCTTTCTTTATACTTTTGCACTGCATGATAGAAATACGACTTTCTCTTCAATAGCAGTACATTAGTAGCGCCTGCCTTTATGCTTATAGTCTTGCTTTAAATCAATCGCTTCATGAAAAAAAGAAGACATAGAAATATAACTAGATCCAACTGTAGAATAAAATCCAAGAGGCCTTCAACTCAAGATAACTTCACAAGATCGGGTTTTTACGCAAAATTAAGGTCTAAAAAGAAATCTGAAAGCATGTTGACATTGATTCTCTGTAGCTTCAAGACTGTCACACACAATGTGTCAATCTCCATACATTTCACAGAAACAAAAGGAAAGAGAGAGAAAAGCAGACCGACAGAGACAGAAAGAGGAAAACAAATTTTTTTAAAATTATTTTGAAAAAAATGCAACACTGAAAAGTGTAAAAATTGCCACAGTATATAAACTGAACAAATCATTTCCAATCCAAAGTTTGTCAGAAATACTGATTAGATACACGAAGCCATATCCTGATGGCAAGGTTCAGAATCAGGGAGAAAATCCACATGATCCTCCCTATATCAGAGGTCATTCTGCGAGTACAAATGCAGCATAAATGGTACTGAACTTTTTGGTACTACAAACAGACTTAGAAATATACAATACTAAATTATGTTTTCCACAAAATTATGATGAAACAAAATCTCAACTTCCCTGGAAACATACCATTTTACAGGCGCTAAAACACTGGCATACTGGCAAGATCTTTTCGTTGTTTCTGATCAGGTTCCCATTCACACCTGGGGGTAAAGTGAGGAAGACTCATGTAAAGTGTCTTTCTCAAGGACGCAACGACAGGCTGAGCTAAGCCTCAAAGCCACGAACCCACAAACTCATGATCACAAATCTGGCTGCCTAACCAGTAGACTACCAACGACTACTACAACTAGATGCAGCCTCACATATGGCAGGTCTTAGATCAGGGATGCCATTCAGCTTTTTTGAAAATAGCTGAAAATCCACGAGCCACGGTCTCGCTAACATATGAATATATATTTGATACCCAAAGGGTGTACATAGAGAGAAATGACAAACATTTAAAGAATAATAGATTAGATGTACTTAGATGTGGGTTGTTGTTGTTTTTTTCCAACAATAGATTCTATCTCGATCTCAATAACAGAATAGCGGATCAGGATCAAAATACCGCAAAAGTGGCATCCCCGCTTAGATGTAGCTTCAACGACAAACTAGTCTTTGGCTGCCGACTGTTGAACACATTTACAATAATCTCTCAGTTTAATTCAAAATCATTTATTTCATTCAGATTTCAAAACAAACTGGCCATCATTGAGGCATTCGAAGGAAGAAAAAAAAAGACGAATCCTAAAATATAATTTCAAATATGTGAAAGTCTTAACCTTTCCAGTCCCAGGTGCGTAAATTTTCAGCAGCGCTTGTACCTCCCACCTTCCCAAGAGCGTATATTCTCAGTTTCGAGGGGTACCGAATTTGCGCATTTTTCAAAATTAGCCACTCTAATTAAACTTTAATTTTCATATTTGTTCATTTCCCTTTAAACATTGTTCTATGTTATTATCTATACCTCATTACAAAGATACTACATCACTTTTTAGAATGCGTGCCTCTTTTGTGAAATGCTGTATTGTCTGGGACTGGGGTTAGGGAGTGCACAAAAATGGCTGGGGCTGTAAGGGATAAGCAACAGTCTAGCACTATACTTTGTGAGTTCCTCACATAGGCGGCCAGTTGTTATATACCCTGAACCCTGAACCCTGAGAACAGGGAGAACAGGCTAGTGTACTTTGTTTTTTAACTCTCGTTATTACATCGTTTGATGGAAGTCAAAACATTTTTTAAAATTTTGCAGCGAGTAGTTCACTAGAGCACAGCATCAAAATGGTGCAAGACGATTGAAAACAAACTGTAATGCAATTTTCTTTGTATCAGCTTATCACTTCAAACAATTTACAAAGAAAAAGAGTCATAACTGTGGAAACCACCCTCCTGTAAATACAATGACCACGACTGGGTGAATCATGTGGACTTTGTCCCAATTTTCTCCAAACCATTACGAAGATTGGCATGAAATTTAATATGGCTTTTCCAATCCAAAAGCATTTAAGACATGAGATGTGTACCTTTCTTCCTCAAGTTTGCAAACACATATCCTTCTCCTATTAAAGAGTACTGTAGATAAGGCAGTTTGGGGGTTTTTTGGTTTGTTTTTTTTCAAATTTGGAAACAATCTTCATATCCTCACTAGGGTAGACGCACTTTTGAATGAGGACGACAAAGCAGCAACCTTGAAAAATGAAAAGATTTACTGCAAAAATCTGCATCATCATATCTCAAGCATAGGGGCAACTAATGATTTCATTGGCCGCAATACCTATGTAAGCAAGGGAAGCGTTTTCCTCGCACTCGGCACTTGTCGGGGGGGAGACCCACTCACTGTCTGCATGCTCACGACAAGAACTTCACACTGTGTGGTGAGGGTAAAGATCGTTCATAACAAGATAGTTCACTCCTATCTTTCAGCCAACTAAAAAAGTGTCCTCAAAATCCGGTGGCGCCCTCTTAGAAAAAGTGCTGACTTTGGGAACAGAGTTACGTCCTACTTGTGTGAAAAACAATAAAAGCTGAACTAACAAGCTGTGCTATTCCTATTCTTCTTCTGGAGAAACGAAAGAGAGCTTCAAAGCAAAGACTGCAGTCATTTGAAGCAATGCACGGACTTCCTTCCGCTGACACTTTTTTGGCCGAGTGAACTATCTTGTTATGTACGATCTTTGATGAGGGTGCAAACATTGAACAGGGACTTCGGCAGGAAGGAGCATTTTAGCATTTTTTCCTCCTGCGACGATGCTTGAGGCGGGCGGGTGGGTGTCGAGCTGGGGTTTTCGACAAAGAACTGACATTTCACCACGGAAAGCGGCAACCCCGTTAACGATGTTATTTTGGTCTGCGGAGAATGTACCCCTTCCTCACACTGACCTTCTTCCTCCCCTTGCGAGAACGCCAGGCAAACACCCGACACTGGGAACGACAACAGTACGCTACATTGTACACATTGGGGGATATCATACGGAAAAACACGCGAAAATCAAATTCAGAACGATTAGTCTTATTAAAAACACGACGACTACGCTTCCAGCCCAATGTGGGCAGCTGTTCGCACTGTGTGCAGAAAAGTCCCTGGGGCATCTGCAGCTCCGGGGCCTGGACATTGTTGGGATGACACGATGAAAACGACGACGATAATAATGGGGGAGGTGAGGATACAATTGGGGTGATGCTATCTCTATGTCCAGACCCAGGAAGCTGTTGGTTATAACGATGCCCCACTGCGAGACCCCTGCACGCAGTCTCCTAAATAACCGGGCGGGAGAACTGCGTGTAGGTGAGAAAGTAGTTCTTGAAGCTGCAGAACTGGTGGTCCATGCGCTGGTAGCCTTCGATGGCGTCGTGCTTCTCCAGGTGCTTGTGCGAGTCTCGGGCAATGGACGCCTTGAGCGGAGAAAGAGAACAACAAAGGTTAAGAATAATAATAATAATAATATTAGTAACGAATAGCATTTGCATAGTGAAAATTCCAGCTCTGTAAAATAATATTAATAAATAGCACTTGTATTGAGAAAATTCCCACTTAACAGAAAGCTCAATGTGCTTTATAATCTATATCATTATAAGACAAGATAATACTTCATTATCCCAGAAGGAAATTTTATCCACTGGTCCACACTGAACAAACCAAAAAACTACCAGCAATTTCAAACTTTACAGTGAAGAAAAGGGAGAGTTTTTTTAGTTTTAGTTTTAGTAGAAGTTTTACGGCGCTCGCAACTGCATAAGGTCATATGAGCGCCAGAAGATTAGACCTGTTACAAGAGAGTAACAAACATAAAAAAGAAGAAGGGGAGATAAGGACGATAGATGTTTGAGAGAAAAGAAGAAGCAAACCACACCAGAGCACCCGCCAACCACCCACGAAAAGGGAGGGACAGAAAGACAGACAGAACAGCTCAGAAAGCAGCAAATGGGAATGTCATGACCATCTCAGTGCGAATCACAGGAATGGCAGTTTTAAATGTGGGTAGTTAGAGCATACAAAACTCAAGACCCTACCTACAATGGTCCTTTCGGAGATAATAATTTAAAAATAAGCCCAGCCTCTTAAACAATCAAATTAATCTTACTGAAGAGAGATTTGTATATTTCATTCCATAAAAATACTTCCCACTACATCACATGCAAGACGCACACTAAAAAAAACAACCCCAATCTACTTGGACAGTAACACATTTCATCTCAGCACATCTGTCAGTGCTTTTCGGACACACGTGACCTGATCTTCAAAAACCGTTGTGCATCTAGAAGGATACAGTCTACTAAAGAAAAACCATAAGCTGCAATCAATTGAGTATTTCCCATTTTTGTTCATTAAAAGCGATACAACTTCCCTCTCTTCCCATCAGGGACAAAGATATCTCCACACCTTATTCTAACTGACAGGAGTTTTCTTGCTACTCCAGAAAAATTATAAGCAGCAATCAATCGAGTAATTCACATTTCTGTTCATCAAAAGTGATAGGGAGGGCCCTTTCCATCAGGGATAAAGATATCTCTACAACTTACTCTAAATGACGTTGTTTCTTGAAAAAGATATATATAACTCAATGTGAAACAGAAAGACAAACAGCCAAGCCCCTCCAAACCATCAAGAAAACATGACAAGGTGGCAGTGAACAAACTGTCAAAGCACAAACTGTCAAAGCACAAACCTTGTTGGCAAACACAGTCATCAGAAACTTTCCAGGATTGAAGACGTTCAGAACTTTCTTGATAAGATCATCGTACGACTCCTGTAGGGAAGAATACAATCATATATAAGGAATTACTATAACAAAGCAAGAAAAAAAACAACAGAACTGCTAAAATTACAAGGAAACATGACTTAAAGAAATATTTTCAAGTTTAGTTTTAGTAAGGTTTTTACGGCGCTCGCAACTGCATACGGTCATATTATGAGCGCCAAGGGGTGGATGTCAACAGAGAAGTCCAAACGGGGAATCAGGCTTACTCTGCTCACCTCTCTAGCCTCAACAGCACAAGGTCTGCTTCGACTATAAAGGCACACCGGAAATAGCGGGTCACAAGAGAGTGACAAACATACCAAAGAAGTAGAGGAGTAAAGACAATAGTAAGGAAGAGGAAAGAAAAAGCAGCAGTCCCCCCAATGTTGTTTCGGCACAGTATAAGCATGACATTGATAAACCAGCCCATTTACAATTCTACTGTGCATAAGAACATGTTAATAATATCCCCCCTTTGGGTATGGTCTAAAGACAACTTCAGTCAGTAGCACTGCCCTGGGGGGGAATATCTTTTCAAGCTTCTGGGATTAAAAAAAAAAAGTTTTAAAAATCACCTAGACCTTGTCAGTATTAGAAAGATCCCTTGAAAGCCACTGTTTTAGTAAGGGATCCTTTCTCTTAAGTTAAATCAGAGTGAACCTTGACAATGTCTCAATGTTCAGGGAGAATACTGGCATGGAAAGAAATCTCTCACCTGTGGCACGTTGCTCTCAAAGCTCACATAACTACAGTGTGGTTCTGGCGTGACGTGGATGGTGATGTAGAAACCCTGCAGACAAATACACACAAATTTTCATTTTCACAGGGAAATGTAGAAAAAAGATACACACAATTCTCATCAGGAAATTAAAAAAAAAACAACTGTGTTTATTTTTCTCACATCAGTTCAAAGCTAATCTCAACAGCCACCAACAATGTAACCATTCTCAACTTCTCTGATGACAATGTTTGGAGTACAATACACATGATTAAGATTAAGACTGATGAACAAAATGAACTGAACTTCATTGATTTTTCTATTTTTTATGACATGACTTTCTACAAAAATATTCATGAAAACTTCACCGCCAATAAAATTTAGCTCCATTCTCTTTATATTCTAATTAGTGCCGTCTGTATAGTTTTGTTGTTATTGTTGTTATCGCTCCGGCAACAGCTGGGCTCTCGCCCTTCTGTCCAATGGCATGTAGTGATAAGTGCAGGTTGGTTGCAGTTGCTCTGTATTGTTTTACAAAAAGTCACACATAACACTGTTAACCCTTCGATCTCTATCCCTGTGAGCTTATAGGACCCGGGCTGTTTTGAGTCAACAGCTTGATATACACCGTCGTACACTGAGCCGTGTGTTTCAGTCCGTTGAGTTTCACCGTCACACAAATTAATTAATTATCATCACCATCATCAGTGCCTTTCACCCCTGGCAGGGTATAGGACACACACAAGCTCCTTCCATTTATCTCTGTCCTGGGCCATCCTTCCTAGCTCGTTCCTTCCAAGTGAGCTTCATCTCTCCCATGTCCCTTTTCACTCAAATTCCTAAATTATAAAACAGAAAAAATGTACTCACTCCAGGAAGGATTCCATTCATGGAATATCCACACGGCTCAAACAGAAAGTCGTCAATCTGCAGTCCTGGGATGATTGTCCCAATTCCAGATTTCTACAATAAAAATTTGGAAGGAAAAAAAAAGAAGGAAATTACAAGAAAATATAAAATTAGTCATTTTCTAAAAAGTATCATCAAAACAGAGTTGAATACATTTTGTCTTGCTTTAAAAAGATTGACCTTTATAGGATGAAAAAAGTAATATGATGTCATTAAGTCATCAACTTTTTCCCAAAAATGTTCTCCATCCAGTTCCATAAAACAAGTCAGCACTTTTCCTGATAGATTTGATCATGTGAATGTTCACATATCACATTAGCAATGAAAAATCTTCATTGCCCATAAATGCATGGCATTCACATCATCTGGAAATTCCATGTTTATGACCAAAGAGGGATTGCCAAAGTGCCAACTCCCAGCTAATAATAAATGGACAGCTCTTATTCAACACAAGGCAGAAGATAAAAAGGACACTGGAAAAACTGATAAAAAACAATAGACAGATTTAAATAGTGTATAATATCCTTTCTAGAATGTAGACATTCAGTGCTTATCAACTTGTTCCTATAAAAAGTTGGTATAAAATTGAAACTAAAATTTACTTCAACTTACAAAGGTCGCTTTTAAGGACAAACGGGCTAACCCAGATTTTCCGGGGTTTCCAGAAATCTGGACCTACACCAAAAGTGGGCATTGCCCTACCTATAGGAGAAGTTTGGTTTCATTGGTGTGTATATTTGTTTGGTTATAGAGAAAACTCTCCTTGCTTTTAAAGAAACTGAACAATGGTCCAAAAACTTCATCTTCACTTTTCTCAAAACAGCATTTTTCGGGAGAGCCCCCTTGTGCTTAAAAGCGACCACTTGTCATTGTCCTAAAAAGCTGGCTTTCATAAATTACCTGTGTGGCGTCTTTACCATCAGAGCTGATCTCTTTGGTGAAAATCTTCATCTTATCCTGGCACATGTCCCACATGAGGAGCTATTGGTGGGTCAAGGAACACCGTCTATTTGGTTCATGACACTAGTCTACAACCATGTGACAACCAACCACTTTAGGTGTACGTTTTGTTGGTTTGTTTGAGTAAAAAGAAACACATCGACACAATAATGATCATGATTTAGTGCTGGGAAAAAGTAAGACAGTCAGAAAGAAACAACAGGAGGGAAATTAATGAAGTAGAACCAACCAGTAGCGCCCAAGAACCACCTACTTAAGTGTACGATATTCCGAAATTTTTCCAGAATAAAAGAAAAAACTTGAAATGCTATCAACAACGGGAACAGGTTCTAAGTGTATGGGCTCAATAAGTACTTCCCCCATTTTCCAATGTCATATTATGAAAGCGTGCATAGCGAGTATAGGTGGGTGGGCTGACAGTTAACGGTTTTGTGAGGTCAGCAACAAGCAGATATATAAGAAAATTCAATCTTTTTCTAAAACCCCTCTTGAACCCAAAAGCAGTAGACCAGACTACAAACAATATACTTTTTTTTTTAAAAATAAAAAAGGAGACACCCAAGTACAGAACTTGCCAGCCCCTGATGATGAAAACTGGCAATGATGAAATAAATGTGAAGCGTTTTCGGACAAAATGGGTTACTTCTCGGATTCAAGCCTTATGTAAATAGATACATCTGGCTTATGGGTGAAGTTTTTACAATTCATAAGTATAAAGTAATAAAAGGCATGTTATAATTATTGAATACGGCATCAATAAAAAATTCTACAAATTTGATCCTAGTGTCGATTTTTGGAAAATAAAATATCTCCATTTATGGATTGCCAGAAGTAACCCATTTTGTCAGCACGCCTCACAAATGACTGGCAGAGACAGCTGTTCCCATTATAAACACAGCATTTAATCTTACATATCTTCTATGAAACTTCTATGTACGTCACAAGTGTATAACGGCCCATTATAATGAGTCTCTTTACAATAAAAGAGTGGGACTTTTATACTGCGTGTGACACAGGACAGGCATGGTAAATAAGCAACAAGCTCTGGTGTGGTTTAGTCCAGTGGTAAGAGAACTGGTCTCAAAATTGTGGATTCGTTTTAGTGAAGAGTTTTACAGCACTTGCAACACAACATAAGAGCCGAAGATTACAGGTGTTACAAGAGAGTAACAAACACAAACAAGGAGGAGGAGAGATCAGGTCGATAGATGTTTGGTAGGAAAGAAAGAGGCAAACCACACCAGAGCACCTGCCAACCAACCACCCACTGAAATTGTGGGATCTGAATTTTCACTTTACACTTCGTCAAGCAAGACCTTATATGTCTCATAGAAAAATATTTCACCTTAATTTCACTTTATTTTCCTCATTTTATAAAGGCAAAAGGGGGAACAAGGAACAAGTTCAGACAAAAACTTTAAGGACGGCAGCGCTTGAGCGTCTAACAGGCTGAAACGTTGTATATTTGTTTAACTGGAGACTGAGATGTTCCAGTACCACTAGAGACTGAGCTGTCCAGATGATGAGATTGTAACTGAGAAAAAACAGAACACACCAGACAGGATCCTTATTCAGTTGTCCAATCATAAGGGCAAATATGTTTTCCAACCCGCTGCCAATGTACATACAGCCACCTCAGGGCTTTCTTGTCATATCTCCAATTTTTTTAAACGTGATGTATCGGGGTTTTTTTTTAAATGCAAAAACATCTACAAGAAACATTCTTTCTCTTAACGCAGAAAAGGATACTTCAAAAGTCTGATCGGACTGGTGCACATTTCCATCCTCGAGTGTGTACAGGTGCCTGGAGGAAAAAGACATACAAACATGTTCAGGCTAATCTAAGAGCAGAAAAAAATTTCTCTATTGTCAACTCACATAGTTTTTCTTCATCTTACTGGCAATTTTGTACTCTTTCAACAATTTGAGAAAAACTGGGATGTATAAGTTGAAAATAATACTTTCATGGACAAATTCGACTATGTAACTTTTGTTTTTTTGGTTAGAAAAAACGCTCGTCTCTTTTTTTTCTTATTTTAGCTTAAGTGACACTTAGATTATGTGCAACCTGAATAAGTACAAAATCAGACACAACTCAACGGGTTACAAAGCGAAAGGACCGCATAGTACTTCAGGGTGCGCTATAAAAGTTTATCTTTCAAATCAAACTCAAAATACCTGTAGACAATGAGACAGGTGGAACATACCAAAGTTTGGTAACTTTAAGTTCATTCCTTTCTAGACAACCAGACCAATTCGACAAACTGATAGACGACGAATAGTTTTGATACAATTTTAAAGATATTCTAGTGCATAACACACAAGGACTAGTGGACTACAAAACTTACCAGCAGTCCTTGTTCATACGACCCAGAACGTAGGCAGCTCCATCTGGGAACAGTCAAAGATTGCAACATTAATATTTTGGGGCGGGGCGGGGGGTAAAAGTGTTTTATAACACTCGCAACTGCATAAGGTCACACGAGCGCGGGACACACCAAAATTTTTCAGTTGGTAGGAAATTTTGAATTTTGCCCGGGTGGCGGCCGAAGCCTACTCTTATCAATTTTGTACCACGAAGGGATCTTTAACATGCACAACTTGCCCACTGGAGGACCTCCGAGATTTTTCGCCCTTGTCCGAGAAGGCTAGGGGTAGATCTTTCCTACCAAAAGATCAGGGGTGTGGCTGAAGAAGGAGCCAATGAGTAGCAGTAGAAAAGCTGCAGAAAGAGTCAGGAGCCAAGAGGAGGGGGCAGAAAGTGGAGACGAAAGCAGACGACAGAACATTGCTAGAGAGCAGGAAATAAGTTGAAAGGAGACAATTTTAGAGAAGAAAAAAAGAAGAAAAATCAAGCGCCACCTGATAATCTTTCTGCAATGTGAGTCAGATTCAGGAGAGGTAAGCTGGAGGGCAAAATTCGCGTTACGTTTGCAGCCAAGAGGGATTGAACTTTGTGCGCAGAAATTCTACAACAACTTTTGCATCTAAAAACTTATTCCATTTTCATAATCGGCGTTTAAAAATAAGCTCCATGTGGCTCACGGGTGACCAGATTTGATGTGACGTTTAACCTATGGCACATTTTTTTTTCAATGATCAATTTTGATGAGAAGTAGGCATGTACACCCACAACATTGTGCATCTGACATCAAAGCTTTTCCACAATGCCCTGTCACTGTTCAGAGTACAGTATGGCAAATTGACTTTTTTTTCTTTTGTAAAGTAACAACAGCAAACTGAGAGCAAGCAAATTCCTGTCGCCACAGAGAGTCGAGTCATAACAACGCAATGAGGAGGAATCTTTTTTTTTAGGTTTTAGTAAGAGTTTTACGGCACTTGCAACACAATAAGGTCATATAAGTGCCGAAGATTAGAGGTGTTGCAAGAGAGTAACAAACACAAAAAAGAAAAAGGGGAGATAAAGACGAAGATGTTTGAAAGGAAAGAAGAAGCAAACCACACCAGAGCACCCGCCAACCACCTACAGCAAGGAGGAAGAATCTCCACCATAGAAAGAGAATTGGATGATAAAATGGAACACGTTAGATGTATTTCAGTAAAACTAACAGTTCTCATATATATGTGATGGATCTGATACATTCTATCACACAGGCTAAAATTTTATTCTCCCATTCCTCTCCTTACACACAAAAAACAAGCATACAAACAATAGTTTTTTAAAAATCAAAAAAACCCATTAACTCACCTAGACCTAATGCCGATATTATCTGTAAGCACGCACAACGCTATAACCCTAACGCGGAAAATTTCGTTCATCATGACCGAAAACGGGTACTTTCGGGTGGAGCAGACTTTAATAGCCTAATTGGAAGAGTGACCATTTTTTGTTTGATTTAAAATAGACTACAACCAGAAGTGCAAGCCTAAATTTAGAATAAAGAAAGCTATATATTCGTGAACCATGTGAGGGGGGTGCGAAATTTGAAGAAACCACTTCCTTTCTTCGCTTTTTGTTTACTTTTGGCTCTGAAATTTTCAATACTCACAAATAAAGGTAACAGGTTTGAATAAAATGTGTAGCCTACCACATTTGGAATGGATATATATATATGTTAAAATTTAGTTGTTTTTTTTTCTTATTTCAAAAAGTGGTAAAAATTTCTAGGGAGAGCTGACAACCCGGAAGTGTACGCCTAGGGTCGAGTGAGTTAGTTTAGTTTTAGTAGAGGTTTTACAGCACTCGCAACTACATAAAGGTCATATGAGCGCCGGAAGATTAGAGGTGTTACAAGAGAGTAACAAAAAATTTTTTTAAAAGAAGGGGAGATACGGACGAAAGATGTTTGCTAGGAAAGAAAAAGCAAACCACACCACAGCACCCGCCAACCACCCACCGAGTGAGTTAACCTAATATCAGTCAGAAGAGAGCACTGGCACTTGGCCACAGCCAGCGAGAACAGGCTACAAATAGACCATGAGTATACTTACAAACTGAAAACAACAGTAAAAATAAACTAAAACAGCAACCAACCCACATAAAACCCAAATAATCTATATAAAAGCAGGCCATTTTAGACCTGTAGATTCAGAACAAAGAGCAGCATTAATTAATGAGCTATTCACGTACTCCGCTGGCGCACAGCTGCTGTTACCTAGACAAAACAGCTGTACTTACCATATAGATCACATAGACCACAATCATTATGCATCAGCTCAGTCCAACAAAAGAACCACAGTAATTTAAGAATGCGCAATTTCCACCGCTTGATTAATTACTGAAGCAGAGCGAACGCATCATTCAAAAACACAGAAATACAAAGATATGTTTAGTTTTAGTAAGAGTTTTACGGCACTTGCAACACAATAAGGTCATATATAAGTGCCGAAGAATAGCTGTGTCACAAGAGCAGAGAGTAACATACACAAAAAAGGAGGAGGAGAGATAAGAAAGATAGATGTTTGATTGGAAAGGAGTAGCAGAAAACCACACCAGAGCACCCGCCAACCACCCACATACAAAGAGAGGAACAGCAGAACTGAGAAAATTGAAAAAACCGTAAGTTTTTTTAGTTTTAGTAGAGGTTTTAAGGCGCTCGCAACTGCATAAGGTCATATAAGGGCCAGAAGACTAGAGATGTTACAAGAGAGTAACAAACATAAAAAAGAAGGGGAGATTTAAGGATGATAGATGTTTGATAGGAAAGAAGTAGCAGCAAACCACACCAGAGCACCCGCCAACCACCCACAAACAAAGAGAGGAACAGCAGAACTGTGACAATTGCAAAAACCGTAAGTGAAATCCAAATCATTAAAACGAGAGCCGGCACACAACACGTTTTAACTCCTGGACTATCAGCAAGAACGACACGCTCCCCGCGTCCTTACCGTTGTTTTAATACACCCTTCTCCCCAAAACACCACAGTGCCTGTCAGTTTCATCTCCTCTAGTTAAAAATACTATTTCCATCCAGTCCTCTATATCCAAGTTTATAATATTAGTCAAGTTAAAAATAGATGACCATACTCCCTTTCTCTGAGAGAATTCGAAGCTCAAACGCAAAGGCCTATTTTTCAAGAGGCAGCACATTGCTTCATAGTAAATTTTCTCTCGAGAATCCCAGTTACTTTTAAAATCAAGACTGTTAATCAGATTCCCTGTATACAGTATACAGGGTAGTGACTGCCAACACGGCTTCTCAATTTTCCAAGGGCATGTTACATTTACGATGACAGTGTGCGCTCTGTATATGTAAGTTAATAAATACACACGCACGTAGGTACATTATATCCCAGACAAAAACATGTCAGAGTGACACTGGGCTCTTGTGTGACGTGGGAATAATAATACACCTGCTTTCTTTGGACTAAATCTCACCACAGACTTCCCAGATGTTGCCAATGGTTAATTTTTGGGCTTGGCGACGAAGATAGATCTAGATCCCAAAAATGTTGGTGACACAAAAACTGAATGACGGCACAGATGTAATACTGGCTGTTCAGGAAAATACTTTTTTTCTGCTTCTTTTTTTTTAGGTAAGTGTTTTACGGTGCTTGCAACTGCATATGGTCATATGAGCGCGCGGGACACATTGAACATTTCCAGTTGGTAGGAAATTTTGAATTTTGCCCGGATAGCAGCCGAAGTCTACTCTTATCGATTTTGGACCACCAAGGGATCTTTAAATAACGCGTGCAACCAGCACACGCGACCTCCGAGATTTTTCGTGCTTGTCCGAGAAGGCTAGGTGTTGATCTTTCGTATCAGAAGATCAGTTGTGCAGCTGAAAGACAGCAGTTAGAAGGAAGCAAAGAGAAGCAGTAGAGAGGCTGCAGAGTCAGGAGCCCAGAGGAGGGGGCAAAGGAGGTGAGAGGGTGGGGGCAGATAGTGAAGATGAAAACAGACGAGGGAATATTGCTAGAGAGCAGGAAAGGAGGTGAAAAGAGACAGTTTTAGAGAATAAAATGTTTTCGCCTCTACCTGGATTTGAACCCAGGACCTTTGAATAAGAGCCGAACACCTTTTACTCTAGGCCACGAGAGCCCCCTAGAAAATCCATGACATTAATTCTAGCTGTTGAGAGTTAAAAGAGGGCCAGTCGTGACTTATAAATGATAAACTTTTGATTCACTTCAAAGCTAGATCCTGTGACTTCTACAATGTTATTCACTCCACCACACTTTATAAACATTTATATCAAGATATTCAAGAATTCCATCATAATTCATTTGAACCAGTACCACAACACATTATCACCTCACAACCATTGGAGAGAAGAAAGATAAACAACTTCACTCAATCCTGCTGTACAAAGACTGAGTAAATAACATCGGAGATATTTATTTTACAAACAACAGCAATGATATATATATATGTGGACAAAGACTTGCTACTCATCTTAAGCCAGCATCGCTCACAACTACAAACACTTTAAGTTCATCACTAATTTAGTGAAAATACCTGCTCTGCAGTTCTTAACACACGAAAACTTAACACTTTTTATTCTTCGTTAGCACAACTGAAAACAGTCCTAGCCTAGCTCAAGCTGTTAGGTGCTATTTCTCCTTTAATCCCTTCCTTGACACCTAAAAATTTGCACTAGGACCATATCCTGACACAACAAAATAGGCTCTGTGCAACAAAGTTGAAACGATTAAAAGGGTTTCCTTTCTATGGCCCCACAAAAAAAAAATTCCTTCCAACCTGAGAATGTTTTTTTGTTTTTTTTGGTGTAACTTTCTGAAGCAAGTCATATTAGGAAATTAGCCACAGAACAAAAACAAAACCACATCGTGATGTAACACTATGCAACACATTGCCAAAGAACAAAAACAAAACTGTACCATGATACAACACTATGCAACGAAGTGAGGTAAAAATCAGAAGTACTGACCACTTCACACAACAAAAAACCCCAAATATTTTCGTGCTTGAAAGCATCAATGAAGTATCATTTCCTCAAAACTGCACAGCACTAACGAGCATATATAGGGATTCCACCAAATAAACAAACCAATAATTTATCTTTTGCATCTTATATCAAGATTTTCACAAAAAGTATAAATATAAGATCTTTGTTTAAGTAAAGAGAAGCACATCGACACAATTATGGTCATTTTGTGCTGGGGAAAAGTAAGACAGACAGACAGAAACAACAGAGGGAAAGTAAAGAAGTAGGACCTACCAGTGCCCTCCAACCACCCGCAATATAAGATGGAAAAAAATGTTAAAACATAATCAAATGCATACGCTGGATTATATAATAACATTTGATTGTATTTATATTGAGCTCAAGCCCATACAAGTATAAGCACTGTGTCTATTACAAAATCCTGACAATTTAAGAAATCCTGATTTATTCAGAAAATTGGCACCTCTATAATTCAATTTCTAGACCAATAGAAAGCAGACAAACATTACATTCAGCAACAACTGCACTCAAAACTTGACCTTTCACATTACATTCAACATCAACAGCAATCACACCCTGACCTTTCCCATGATCTGGTAAGACTGCACAAACTTACTTTTGAACATGTTATCCAAGTGCTCCACTTCTTTGTCAAAGGACTGGTGCAGATGATGCTGCAGCTCTGGCCGTGTGAAATTCTTTCTGGAGTAAAAGATGTCCTGAGAAGAGAAACACATTCCTATCATGTAAATGTATTCTCAACAACTGTTATACTTTGTTTTGGAGAAGTAGTCCTTATCAACGAATGGTTCCATCTATGATCTACACACCTGTCAACCACCCCATGACTAAAAATAGTGAGTTGTCCTAAATATCCCCCCAAAAATTTGAAATTTGGGGGAAAAAATCTGAGTCTACAGAGCCACAGTAGAAGTTTACAATTATATATAACAAAATGACTGACAAGTTATAAAACGAGTATTGCAAGCACAAGCACATAAACACAAATTAAAATATATGTATTTTCATGTTATTCGCGACAAGTCCAATATGACCTGATGGAAACCGAATACAAGAAAAAAAACAACACTTTTATGCAAATCTGATAGAGGTTCTCCGAAGGAGAAAATTTAAGATAAAGGTGGGCTCCGATTTTTATCGAAGCAGTTGTATCAATACAATACCATCCTGTAATCCCTCTTACTCTTACAATACTTGTATGTACGTAAAGTGATCTCAACTTCTCACTTAACATTTCTTTAGTTTTTTAAGTTTTAGTAGAGGTTTTACGGCGCTCGCAACTGCATAAGGTCATATGAGCGCCAGAAGATTAGAGGTGTTACAAGAGAGTAACAAACATAAAAAAGAAGAAGGGGAGATAAGGATGATAGATGTTTGATAGGAAAGAAGGAGCAAACCACACCAGAGCACCCGCCAACCACCCACTGATATCATCTGAAAGCTGATTTATTTTTCTTGTTTCCAATGATAAAAATATCCATCAATCTTGAACAGAATTCAAGATATTTGTGAATGGAGGAAGTGAGATTGCCTGGTTTTCAGTGGTGAAATTAGTGAGAAAATGGCCGCCAAAGTTTGGTAATCCAATAGCTAAAGAGTTCTTGGGAAAAGAAAAATAACACATTTTGTGCCTTACCTCAAAGTTTTTCAGTTAAATTCACACGCAAATGTGTTTTTATATCAACATAAAAGAGGTTGAGCCAAAAAAAGAAATTTGATCAAATTTTCCAAAACAGGCAGAAAAATGCCTGTTTCTCCGATTTCTGTATTTCGACCAGCGCCTGATTTCACCACGTAGCCTCACATTTGCACTAAAAAATCAATGATATTATAAAGGTAATGTGCGATACTAAAGGTTAATAAATTCTGATCCATACATATAATTCATGGCTATGATTATTAACACCACAAAGTTAGTAGTGGTCATCTGTAGTTTTAAAGTTAGCAGCTACAATAATGGTCCCATTTTTACAACAAGCAGATATGAACAATAGGAATTCTGAACGGAAGAAAAAGGAGCTGACAACAACAGTTGTTCATCAACCACAATCATAGAGAGAGAGAGTGGGGGGGGGAGAGGGAGAGAGAGAGAGAGAGAGAGAGAGAGAGAGAGAGAGAGAGACGGAGAGAGAGAGAGAGAGGGTGGGGGGGGGAGAGGGAGACAGACAGATTAACAGACAGAGGTAGAGACAGAAATAGAAACAGAGGCAGAGACAGAGCTAGACATGTGGGGCTTTTACTTTGCGGTGCGTGTCTCTCTCTACCTTAATCTATTGCTTACCTTTATTTTGACCTTTCTTGACCACTCTTTTATTTCGCTTCCGATATTATGTTACATTTATAAGTGAGCTTTGGAGGAAAAAGAAATGGAACTTGAGGAATTTGAATTTTCAGCGTCCTCTTAATTAATCGCCTCACAGCTACTGGCTATGTCTTTAAAATAATCAGCCAAAAAGGAATAAGAAAGTGAAAAAGCAGCCAGAAAAACAGTTGACAGTTCAATAGGCATAACCTTCAGAATCATAAAAGCCCGGACAATTTAGATTTTTGACAGGTAATATGGATCATGAATATTAAAAGCCACCAGCGTCTGTTTTATTTCGTAAAAGCCTGCAGCTTTTGTGTCCCTAGACAAATCCGGCTAATCTGGCATTCAGCTGTCCCACAATGCAACACGACGCGGTAAATTCCGGTCCATTATGTTTGGATTCCGCTGCTAGAAGCATTGAGATCAAGATTATTTTTCTCTAAGAGAAAAGGCATGTGTGTCTGTGTGTGTGTGTGTGTGTGTGTATGTGTGTGTGTG